CCCAGGTATTCAAAAGTTGGTCCCACGGTATGACCAATGTCTCAATTCCGGTGGCGAATATGTTGAAAAATAGCTGGACACTTGCTGTATCTGTTGCAATAAATATTTCCATGAAATTGTGTTTTGTTTCTGTAAACGGCCCCAGGGAAACTTACTTTGTGGACGAGCCTCGTATTAAGATAGTATGGAGGAGTGGGTATATAGCTGTACACTTCAGTCACTTGGCTACCAAAGGAAGAGCACTTGGGATCCCATAAGGTAGGAGGCTCTATGGGCCCCAGAGCTGATCTGGATGTGGTGGAGAAAGAGAAAAATTCCTGACTTCTACAAAATAATTTGAAATATTTTTTTGCAGATTGGTGTATAATTGGGCTTCTAGTTTTAACTGTTATGTAAGAACATCTTAAGTATGTATGGGATATAAATACCATACATTGAATGTTTAAACATTTATGTTTTCAAGGTTAAAATTAGTGATGCCTCACCAGTGTACATTTTGACATATATACATGAATGTATGTCTTTTCAACTTCATTTATGTTTGTTCATAACTTGAGAGTGGGTAATCTTGTAAATTTTGTACTTACCAGACAAACTAAGTCCAGAGGCTGCAAAATGCGAACTTATACAGTTTTTATCCAGTCGTATTAATATAATACCTACATACAGACACCTTTGAATTGCATATTTTCACTGCTCCAGAAGCTTTCTGTCTCTCATATATGTGATTATATTTATTTCTCACTTAGAACCAAGGGCAGAGAATTTGGTTCCAAAGCCATCACCTGCAGCTAGTCAGCAAACAAAGGATGATGCTTATATGCAATTCATGAGAGAAATGGAAGGTTTATTGTAAAGTGAATGTAAGTATTGTTCTATTTTATGTGTGACGTGGAGAAGCCCAGAGGAACAGCACGATGTATATCTTTTTATCACTTCAACTTTCTTACAGTAGATATCAATATGATTTGTGTAACTGATGAGAATTTAAACATACTATTGCCCGTTTGTAATAGCATCTTATGTTAAATGCACTCCAGTTGTAATTAATTTACTCTCTAGTTTGTTAAATTGAGTGAATAAAAGACTGATGTCTTTAATCCTCTTCATTTCATTTATTCACAACTTAAAATGTCCAAGTTCCTTGCCTGGCATCAGGTAAAGTTAGCCTAATTTTGTAATTTTTATATTATATTCGTTATAGGTGTAATTGTATTATGTTGATATATGAATCTGCTTACAAACCCAATGACAAAGAAGGGAAGAGGTAACTCATAAAATAAGTGTCACATGTCGACTAAGTTACTAGCTTTGATAAGATTCAACAAGGACTTGATGGTGTTATAACAATGATGTTTTGTTTCTTTGTATCCATTTCCTTCAGGTTTGGTCTGTGAAGACCTTCCTGGTTTCTGCAGTGTTAGAAAAGGGTGTAGAATCCATTTATAAGGTGAGAGCATCCATGGAGTGGATTCTGTTACTTCCAGTGATATTGTGATCATAAGAATGATAATCAGCAGAAAAGGAACCATAGTGTTGACTTATGACCATTATGGGGGCCTGGTGTTCATAACACTCATGAAGTCTTATCTTTGGCAGAGATGAAGGCTTAAGTGTATGCACAGAAAAAGCCACATATAGATATTAACAAGGATCAAAGTCAGACCCCTGTGAATAAGAGCCCTGTATCTCTTATCCTTAAGACACCAGGTCTCAATGATGATGATCTCTATCTTTAACTTTGTAATTGGAGAATGGTACATTGGAGTATCCACTCATTTTAAATTAGTTCATTGATTATAATTTATTTCATATCAGGTATACATACTTGTCATTTTAATTTCATAAATTGATTAAGAATTGACAGAAAGTAAACATGGAAACATGGTACACTGTATGTGTGTATGTATGCTGATACTTTACAGTGTGCATGAAGAAAATATACCAAGGTATTCATCTGTATTTTCATAATTTTTTACTCTGATGGGCGATGAGGAAGCTGTTAATCTCAGTAAATGATTTAGGTGGGTGGGTCTGTAAAAGATGAACTTTAAAAAGAGTTTGGATATTGTATTGTTTTTACGTAAGTACATCTGGCTCTATTACTATTGTACAAAACATGTGTTTGTCAACAGGAGAAGCCTCTAATATATAACCTTGTTTCTGTAATGTGCTACTTAGTTGGCACTGCTTTTTTATAAAAATGTGTCAGTAATTTGAATTTATTTCCAATGATTTTATTGTATTTTGAAAGTTTTTTAATATTCTGAGAAGACATGCTCATACAGGTGCATACCATGAAAAAATAGATGTGACAGTCAGTGAGCCAACGATTAGGAAATGAACAAATTATATGAATTGTTAGAACAAAGGAGAAATTCATAAGGGAACTCTACAAACAACATTATATTTATGATACATACTCGACTGTATTTGTACCTTTTATAACAGTAGATACTGTTACCATGTTTGTTGCATGCACAGAAATAGTTCTCATTTATAAATGAGATGATACATATTAAAATATCCTGTAGATATAGTGATACATTCTTTGATTGATGATATTTAGTTATCTTGCTCAGTGATGTGCATGTGAAAGGGAAAATATGAACAAATTTCAAAGCCTCATTATTAGGTAAGTGCAAATGTATGCACTTACAGTATGGTATACTGATTATTTTCTAGGAAACTGAGATGTTCTGAAAACTCCACCTCCACATATCCCGTCTTTTGATAATCCTTTACAGAATTATTTTGTTTGTTATTTTCTTGAATATTCTCTGAAACATTGTTATCATTAGAATTTATAATGTTAAGTCCTGTACAGTTGACATAATTCCAGAACTGTTCAGGTTTGTCAGTGTTAATGTTATCTGACATTACATCTCTTGGTTCCAGATTGTTTGTGTAGGACAAAGTTGTTGATTCATTGACTGTGTGGTTTGACATTGTATTACACATATACATACATGCCTTCATAGTTGGAAATTGCATGTCGTTATCATCAGACTTGTTGCCTGGTGGAAACAGATCAGTCCAAGGCCAGGCATCCACAGAATGATCTCTAGTTTCTTCTAGTGAATGGTGTGTGATTACTGCTTTCCCATCATCATTGACATGCTTTTCAGACAAATTATACCCTGTAGTATGACAAGTAAAATTAATTTGTTTGCCTGTGACTGTTAAATTGTCAGTTGTTTTTGGATACATGCTGGAAGCAGCAAATGGTATTAATGCTCCACTAGCATCAGATCTGAATTGCACATCATCTTTATCATAGTTGCATATATCATCAACTTTATGGACTTCAGTTTCCACATCTGTTGAAATACTGAAATGACCTCTTTCGTGACTGGAGTTTTTTTCAATAGAATGTAAGTTCACAGAGAGTACACAAGTATCATCAAAATTGCTGATTGGAGGCACTATTTTGTACTCATTTAAGATGGCATCTGTATCATAATCAGTGCCTATGCTGTAACTGGTTGTATCTTCTAGTGCAGCTTCTGTCGTGAGTATATTGGTGACATTATATGTGTCACAGGAACTTGAAAATTCTGCATTTTGTGCTTTATTTCTTTTTCTTGTTACATACCGAATTGTATAATTAAACACTGGATTACTGCTGCTGAAAGAATGTTGTGTACCTTTTCTAACAGTAGGTCTGTGCTTATTTGCTTTGCTTTTCTTGCATGCATAAGAGACAGGTGTTTTTGAACACTTTGTTGGATGAATTCTTAAGCTAGAAATCTCGGAATCTTTACTGTTCATTTCTTTATATTTGCAATTATTTTGAATAACTTTGCTCTCACTGCCTTGACCAAAATTGACACCAGAATCATTAGTGATAGTTTCTTCTATTGCTTTTAAGACATTTGAAGTGTTTAAAGAATTTGAAATCCCTTGTACCTCTGTTTCATTCTTCATTGTTGAACATTCTTGAGGAAAATCTAGTATCATTGCTCCCAGTGCTGGATTTACCTATTTATATAAATTGCATTTTAGTTTGGAAGGTTTCTGTACACAACACTCAGTGTTCATTGTTATTTCTCACAATAAGAGGACTTAGCATTTGTTACAGTATATTTATATATAAACTGTGGGACCTGCTGGAATCTGTCGTTTTAATCAAAAATTGAATTAAACTGAGAACCAGGTGAATGTCTGTATGTTTCTATTTTCACCTCTAAAGAGACCAATAACCTTCAACTTGTGACAGTAATAATCATCAAGAAATACACGCAGAATGTAAAACTGGATCATGGTTGTTATTAGCTAGATATGGAGACAATGGTTTTACAGTCATTCATGTAAACTATAAGGCCAAAATTCCCTTAAAAGCCATCCCATGGGAACCATTATAAAAAATGGTCAAAATTAAAACAAATGAAGTGAAAATTTGGCAGGGGCCGTTGGATACCACTTCAGCCTAGAGCTGGAGATACTAAAGTAAAGAACTCTTTGATGTAGACTAGGACTAGATACCCTATTATTTTTTATGTCCTGAAACGTTCTCAATACAGCCTACATCTACAAGTGCCATCATCTAGAAACAATACACACATTAACACAGAACTGACGTGAAAGTCAGAAATCTTTCATAGAACATGTTGTAGGACTTTTAAATACTACTACCACAGCTAAATTTATATTTTAATGAAAATGTTTTCGGTATTTACTGAACACTGTTTCAAGAAGTTCTTTAAAACTTAAATTCAGAACAATAAATTTGTTCTTACACAATTTATGTCCACAAGTTGTCATATCTTACTCTTGTATAAATCAAAATTTTTATGATTATTTTGTGTTAGAACCATTATTACTAGACATTTTTAAGTGGGAATATGCTAGTAGATAAGAGCATTTTTGTAAGCTTGTTAAATTTGTGTATAGTACATATAACACTTACTTTAGAGAACCAATATGAAATCAAATTTTTGTTGGACTGTAGGAATTTTATTACGTCGCCTACTGCCTTCTTGAGACTTGTTACTTCTTGGCGCATCTTTGAATTTTTCTGGACTTTTTTAACAAGTATGTCTATGTGCTGTAGAAGTTTGAATGCCTGAAGAGATTGAAAAACACTCATAAAACAAAATTAAAATTGATTTATATATAATATTATGTATATAATTAATTTTGTTTCTGTATTACCTGTTTGTGCAGTGTCTGTGCTTCTTGAATATAGGAAGATGGTGACTGAGCAAGCCAGCGATTGAAGGAAGCACGTCTGCACTTTATAGCCTTTAGGACATCTTGGAGAGGACATCCTTTAGAAGATATCACATTTATAAATACAGTAATGAACAGGGTGACTAAATATCCCTATATTTTTAGCATCATTTTAAAACAGCCGGGACCTGACATTAAACCTTTCTTGCTTATATTCAGATATGTATGTTGTGTATGGTAGTACACACAGTGGAGTGGTTTGTATAATCGTGGAATTCAAAAAACTGATAGGCAGTGTCGGACACTGCCGCAGTTATTTTCGTGAAAACGTCAATCGTGTATAGTATATTGAAATTAAACAAAATTTCATCTATCGAACTATACCTTTCTATTACATATGAAGAAAAAATTCATAAATGTTCTTTTATATTATTTTTTCTTAACGAAAATATTAGTTAATAATTAATAGTTTAACTTAGGTAGATTGTAAATATAATCATTTTTATAAACTAGAGCAGGGCGCTCCTTTGGTCAAGTTTGTAAAACGCAACCAACCTTGGTTAGTCCCGAAGGGGAGTTAGTTTAGTGTCTTATTCAAATGTTTTAACCCCTGAGTAAGAAACTAAACTAACCTCCCCGAATGGGGGGTTTAAACCTACCCCCTGAAGGGGGTTGGTTGCGTTTTAAAATCTTGAGTAAGACGCTAAACTAACCCCCGTGTATTAACAAATATAAGGTGATATTGTTGATGACGTCATTTTTTGACGACAACGATGGCTAATCCTTTCGGATCGCTTCCTGTAATCTGACATTTTACTTCTTTACGTCGCTGATCAGAGGCCGGCCGCCACGAATTTCGGAGCGGTACTGGCACAAACTTTCATCCTTCCTCTTTAAAACGAGACTAAGATGGCGGCTCTATGTCTATTTTTAGCCGAGTTATTGAAGTTTGAAATTACTTCGACAGAAACTGTCGCTTATTTGGGCGCGATTGCCTCCCCACACCCGGCATAGATTTTAAAGACGTTTTCACGTCAAAAGAAAAGAAAAGTGGTAGGTGCTTTGTGAAATGCTTGGATAACCCTAAGAGAGTGTTTGGTTGTATGCCTTGTCCGCCTACAATTCTCTATATTAAATAACCTCCTTTTGAAAAGATTATATCTGGTATTATCTAAGTGGTATACTGTGCAGGGAAAGTTGGTGTGGAAGGCATTCATTTGGCTGCATTGCTTTAGTTTTGACATTACAGTTAATCATTCAAGGGTCTTTATAGCTAAAGCCAATTCATCTGCAAAAATATTGAATGTTCTTGAGGAAGCTGAATGACTGGGTTTGCCTAAAAGGAAGTGGCACTACATTTTTCCTTGTCTCAATCTATTTCACTGAATTCTGTTTCCATTTAAGAACTAACCAGATTAATTAGGCAGCCAAAAAACAAAACGTTTAAATATTATCCCACTGAATTTGAACTCCATTATTATGTATTCTGTAATTAAGAATGCACTAAAATACATCTTCATGAGATTATAACATCATGTAGTTTTTGGTGACCTTTACACAGAGCACTATGTAACATTGGTGTGGGCGCATCTACAGAAAATTTACAACTTTTGATGAAAAGATAGGAGACACACATTACTGATTTAGGTGGTTCCCTGTTATTATCTAGAGGCTTATGTTTCTCTTATCTAGAATTGGTCACTAACTAGATGGCTTACCGAACCCGAAGGTTCATCACCGAATTAACCAAAGCCCTCCACCGGACCCTGTCCTGGGCCAACAAAATCCAGTTTCCTTCAACTCCTATCTCCCATAGTTCCTGCCTGAGATTATCCTCCCATAGAATTGGTCATTATAAATATAAAAATAATGGTTGTTTGAATAAGTAAAAATAAATTGGTTTTGATAATTTACCTGCAGATGTATGACTCAAAATTGTTTCTTGTGTTTTGGTTCTTGTACTTTGCATTATATGGGCTTTCAATTTGATCCGTAGTTGTTTTATTTTGTTGCGATGTGTTCTAGCATTTATAGTAGCAAGTGTTCGTAACATTTGTTCCTTCATAAACCATTGCTCTTTCAAACTTTTCAGTTCTGCCTCTGTCCCTGCTTCAGCAACAACTGCAGCTTGCAATTCACAGGCTTCCTTTTGAAGGAGGTGCAGCTGGAAACAAAATCAAATTTATGCTAATTATGATCCATTCTTAGCTGGATATACAGTGGATGCAGCAAATCAATATGACATTCACAAAGAAATTAAGTCATTTTGGAGGAAGCCTGCTAGCATGCAATCAGTATCTTTTTTGTCTTCCTGGCTGTTATCTAAGAACATAAGGATTGAAATATTGGTTTCTTACAATTTCAAACACTATATTATATTGCTAATAGAACTCTTTGGACTCACCACCATGAAAACCTCAAATTCTACTTAGAACCTGTTATACTTACATCATTTTCTGCTCTTCTTATAAGTTTTCCAAATGTTTGCTGTTTTTGCATGACTGTCAGTTAAACATTTATATAAACTTTTAACAGCAAACAAAAAATAAATATGAATATTCCCTTATGTCTAGTAATTAGTATTTCTGCAATTTATTTACATCCAGTGCAACATCAATATGAGCTTGAGTTACAGTATAAAAAGAGAGTGCTCATAAATGTGCATGAATAAACAGCCGTCCTATTCATATGTTTTCTTCAGTATTGTAATATAATTTTCAAATCTGCCGCCAAGATGTCAACAACAACAACAGAAAAAGCAGAGTATGCAAGATTCATCAGCAGCAGGGGAGGTGGTATCAAACACAATTGTTTCCACAGTGGGCGCACATGTAGTTTAAGATACTTTGCATCAAAGATTATAAACTCTACGTTACTATTTGTAATTTGCGATTAGAGAAAAAGAACGTTGTGACCCACGGGTATTTCAAGACCGTAGTAGACTTCCGCGAGTAGTTACGGTGTAAACCGTGGTCGTTAACGATTACAGTAATGGCTGATAGAAACGAAAAGATGGTTCTGGAGCTTCTAAAAAAACCTGGAAATAACGTATGTGCAGATTGTGGAACCAAAAGTAAGACATCTGAAGTATTTTAAAGTTATTGCCTAATAACAGATAGACGTCACATACTTTCAACATTTTTAGATACCAAAAATCATCTTGTGGTGTCTAAGACATGGCATCAATCCTTGTTTAGTCTGAATCGTTGGACATAATCCTGCTGTCCGTCGTTTAAGTAGTTTATTTGAAATAAGTTTGTGATTTTCTTCCAGCTGGGTTATTGTACATGACCCGTTATGCATGCTGTTTTTCATTGTGACCATTAAGTTTACTTCCAAACTGTTGTGAAAATCAAACAGCTGTGACCTCCAGTGATGAATTAATGCATTGAATGCCAATCCATCTGACCATGAAGTAGTGAAGTTCTTCACATCTACACCAGGGTAATCCTTTGTGTTTTGACAGCACCATGCTAACAACGTCTTCTCTAAATTTGTCTGCTGCAGTTCTGACATTAAATCTTTCAAGTGATAATGAACCTGCCAATGTAAAATGATGCTCCACACCAGTCCTAGGGTCAGCTTGGGATTGCCATCCACTATGTCATTACTACTTATGTTCACCAACTTCACATTGTTTTGCTCCAAGATCTGCAGATCTGTAGGATTGTAGAGAATTTAGTTTCATGATGATGGAGGAGAACTAAGTTGATATACAATATCAGCCCATTTACTTGAATGTATGTTTATAGCAATCAGTATATAGTGAAACTGAAAGCGTAATAAAAATGTAACATGTTGCTAAAGTGTGATGGAAAGGCAGAATCTTGTGTGCTAGCATACATTGGAAAGGTAATTTTGTATTATACAGTGGAAATAAACATTCACTCTTGTGAAAGTCTCTAAATGTCTCCTGTTATCTCCTTATGTCTTCCTCGTTTACATACTAGAAACATTACTTTTGTTTTTGGTTTTATTATGTCACAATTTGATGGCAGTGCATACATCACAAAACCCCAGAAAGTAAGGTTAAATTCTTGTGTACACAGGTGCAGCAATGAGAGTGATGTTAGCAGGACCTAGAACTTGACCGGAAGCAGTAACCACCATTTAAATAGTGGGATATTTTATTTAGGTTAGGCTAATTTAAGATAAGACTACAATTTGGTTGGCAGCTTCTAGCAGTGTTTTTGTGCTGTCAGCCCATTTGCTGCCATGTCACCATATACTAGAATATTACCAAAAATAAAGTGGTGCTGCTTTACTTTATCTTACTTTACTCAGCCACTCATCTGTCAATTTTGTTTGGTTATTGTAAGTTTTATGCTTCCCTGATATTTAGGGCTTACATATTTCTTGCTGAACATCCGTGCTTCTTGCCTGTTTCATTCAATTCCTGAAACTTGCTTGATTGTAATTTTCTATCGATACTTAACCCTAAAGCTGTCAGTCAGTGTGTTGCATTAACAGTATGTTTCATGCATGCTTAGCATACAGGAACTTATGGACAATGTTGGAAACCTAGTAACCTTAACTAACCCAACTAAATGTTGTCATAAATGTTTTAAATTGGGTCAACTTCCTCCTCTTATCCTTCCAATTTTGGAGCACTAGTTGTCTGCAGTCTAAAGACCCAGGATAAAAATAACTGGTTTAGGGTTGGTGTCTCTGAATATTCATGTATTCTTGCAAGGAAATGTATTTAATGAGTATATGGGGACAAGAATGTTCTCTTTATACAATACATTTATGTCTTGCTGACCAGATGGACGGACATGAGTTGGATCAGTAATGTATAAGAAGGAACAAGAGGAAGCCATTGTACGTGATGAACTGGAGGGAAAGTTCATAAAAGGAAAATATAGGAATTGACTAGATATTGTAATTTTACTCTCCCATCTTTTCATTCTTCAGTACCCCCCTTTGCCATGGCAATCACTGTTATCCCCTTTGTTATTTGTCATCTTTTTTCTACTACAGAGGAGTTCCATTGTAATTCAAATGTAGAACCATTCATACTTGACCCTTTATCTTTGAACATGAGAGCTGAGAATACATTTATTTAGAGATCAGCCATTGATTCTGCTGTAAATGCAAATCTCAGATACTCCCCAAAGTAAAATGTAGCATACTATATTTACTTGTGATTACAGAATCAAATATCAAATGATTTTGTTTTCTTTTTATAGGAAGAAGGTGAGGAGGAAAATAACAACAGAATGTTGATTTATTACAGTGTGATCAAAGAAATTTGAGAATAATTACATGATTTGTACTTGTTTTACAGATCCAGAATGGGCTTCTTATAATATAGGTATATTTGTATGCACACGATGTGCAGGGGTTCATCGAAGTATGGGGGCTCATATCTCCAAAGTTAAACATTTGAAGCTTGATCGATGGGAAGACAGTCAGTTAGAACGCATGAAGGAAGTTGGGAATAATGCAGCCCGTCTCAGATATGAAGAGAGGGTGCCTCCATGTTATCGAAGACCTGTTGAAGATGACCCACAGTGAGTGAAATTATTTCACCAGTTGTGGAATATAAGGACTGCTGATAACTGAATATTAGGAAGTAGGTAGCTCATTCATTATAGTGACTAGGCTGTGAGCTGGATGACTGGAGTTCCAACACCTGAGAGGAGCAAGAGTTTTCTCTCAATTACTGCATACAGACTGGCTCTGTAGTCCACCAAATATCTTGTCCAGTGGATACTGGGGGCTGTTTTGCTAGTGGTAATGCAGAAAGGGCATGAAGCTGACCACTCACCTCCATATAGTGCCACATATGTCATGGCATGGTGCTTAATAAGTACAAGAAGCAACTTTAACTGAAAATAAAATACATCTAAACACATGAAAACATATCTTATTGCATAATTTTCTATGGTCAGTTGATTATCAGACACATTCATGAAATCAGTTCTGTAGATATACAGTAAGATATAATTTTATATTAATGTTTTACCAATACAAAACTGTCATTGTGATAACATGACATAGGTGATGTGTCACATTCTATTCCACATCCTCCAGTTGCTCTTGGACCTTCCTACTTGCATATTCTAAATTGAAGTTGAAAAAGAATGGTGATAAAGCGTGTTGTTTCGACCGACTGAATAGGTAGTGCATCAGACAATTGTTAACCCATGCAGCCTTTGCTGTAGTTTTCATTTAAACGTAATTTGTTTAGTGTAAATAGTTTCATGGGTATACTGAATTCAGTGAGAATGTTTCAAAATACTTCCTCTCCTAATGTAATTATAGGCTTTCTTACAAATCTGTAAATAGCTGATGTACTGTCTGATTATACTTAAATTTTGTTTTCCAGTTTCTGACAGATGCAGAGCATGTGATGATTATATAATGTATTATGGTGAAATCCTCTTTGATGATACCCATTACAGAAATAACCTTCAAGAGAACAATGTTGAATACAGTTTTGAATTAAGTTTGTAATATTCTTCAGTAATTACTAAATTTATTTATTTTGCTTTTTTTATAAATAAGTACAACAGTAGATTCCTTCCACAATTTTAAAAGATATGTCACATTTAAGAAGTCAAATATGAATGAATAATAATGATACTGGTTGGACCTTCCCTTTGTTTCAGGACTAGGAATATGTGAATATAAACATTTTTAAACATGAATAGATTCAGCTTTGCTTTAAATGAACTTCATATGTTTCATTCATTAAGAATATGTACCAATTTCTACATTAAAAATATATATGTCATATTCCATATTGTTGCTACTACAAGAATCTAGGAAGTTCTTGCCTGCAAGTCAACATTATCTCTGAATTGTACTTCATGTAAGAAATATGTGCAGTATAATATCCAGACAGATCTGATCTGGAGTACACAGAACAGTATTAAGAAATATGAATGTGGTGCTAATTTGCATAAAGATGGGGGCTATGTATAAGTTGTCAAAGAGGCACAAACTAAATAATAACAAGATTCACAATAACAGGCAGGAATGTTAAAAAGTTGCAGAAGATGAAACTGTGATGAAGAAGTTTTAAAGGGTGAAAGAAATAAAATTTTTGGACACTAAAGTACTTTAAGCTCTGTTAAACAGTGAACATGATTGTTAATCTTTATTTAGTTCATTGACCTTTTTTGACACAGCACTGGCACTAATGTATTTCTCAAATTTAGGGTCTTGGTTGAGCAGTGGATTCGAGCAAAGTATCAGCGTGAGGAATTTTGTCATCCTGAACGTCAAGGTTATGTATCAGGATACATGGAAGGTTTCCTTATGAAGAGGGGTAAAGAGGATAGTCGGTATCATCCACGTAAATTTGTTTTATCTGAGGCAGATGACACCTTAAAGTACCATGTGAAAGAGGTATGTGTATATGACTGTAGCTTTATGTGCACTACTTCCTTAAGCTTGCGCTACAAAGCACACCCAATCGTCACAACACACTTTAGCAAGAATGCAAAGGCTCATTCTGGAATTTGTTTTATGTAGTATGAGATTAGAGGTACACATGGCAATGAAGAGGTCAGTGTTGATCTTCTGGATTGTAATGTTCAGCCCTGAAGATGGAGGCAGTATGCTCCTCCAAAAACATTGGGATCTACCTACTGCAAGTGTACAAAGCTTTACAGTTTGGAAGAACACAGCATTGGCTTTGTACTTGCAGATTGTGCAGACTTTCTTGTAGAATTAAATTAAATGGATATCTTGCATGTGTTCTGTTATAATGTTTTGATTTATTATTCTCCTGTAAAACAGATTGACTTTGTTTTTTATAATTTTTTACTTATATTCAGATAGATATATGCTATCCAAGATTGCTTAACTTTGACAAATAGGTATTGGTCCTTTTATTTGAAATAATGCTTCTTTAATATATGTACATGCCCAATCTGTGCTTATCTTTCTGCAGTCTTCGAATTTGTAACTGCTGTATAGTTTATATATCCAAATTGTATGTGAAACAGATATAGTGTGGTTTATGTATGCATTTTTCTCCCAACAGAAAAAGGATCCGAAGGCAGTTTTGAGGCTGTCAGAATTAAATGTTGCATTTGCACCTCAGAAAACAGGAAATTTAAATTCTCTTCAGCTTACGTTTATTAAAGATGGTTCTACTAGACATATATATGTGTATCATGATGATCCTGCAGTTATTGTTAATTGGTATATGGCTATCCGGTGTGCTAAACTTCACAGGCTTCAGGTTGCATATCCATCTGCAAATGAATCTGAGGTATGAATATATTTAGAAAATTGGTTTTGATGCTCTCAGGGCCATGAAGATGTCAATTGTGGTCTTGTGAGTCATGACATCATGTAGTGTTATAATTTGTTTCCAGTATTTCATAGAAACATATTGCCTTTATCTTCTACTCTAAAAATGGATACAATACTTTTATTTTCCGTCGTTTCACAAGCTTATTGTTAAAATCACATAAAATTTCACATAAAATTGTTACATTTTTAAAATTGACGACATGTTTCGATATACAATTCTATCATCGTCAGGTCTATCAAAATTAAAATTAAAATCTGGTGTATCTGTTGCTCTGCTTATATTGATTTTGTTTTTACCCGTTTTTGATTTTATTACATCTCCAGGCTTCTTCCATTTAATTTTGGAGACTGCGCCGATATAGGCACCCAGGCGCAGTCTCCAAAATTAAATGGAAGAAGCCTGGAGATGTAATAAAATCAAAAACGGGTAAAAACAAAATCAATATAAGCAGAGCAACAGATACACCAGATTTTAATTTTAATTTTGATAGACCTGACGATGATAGAATTGTATATCGAAACATGTCGTCAATTTTAAAAATGTAACAATTTTATGTGAAATTTTATGTGATTTTAACAATAAGCTTGTGAAACGACGGAAAATAAAAGTATTGTATTGAGGAACACAAGCAGGATGCAATTAAGATATAAGTCTAAAAATGGAGATAATATGTTCCTCTGAAACCTTGGTAACCTCCTACAAATCACATGTCACCACAACCCAGAAGATTGCTATCAGTATTTCATACATGTTGTGCCCTTAGCTGTTTAAAGAAATTTAATGGCATAACTAAACTGCTAAGCTTGGTTGAAATATAAACTGTGGGATTTTAGGAATGAAGTTATGCCCTAAATATGATAGCTCAATTATGTCTCTACTCTGGATTGACATGAGCTGTTCTGCCAGGTTTTCTCAGAGTTCTTAGTATATCATTGTATATTATGAGTGCAGTTAGATGCTGGCTTCTTACCTAGAACCCTGAGTTCAAACCCAGGACAGCTTGTCAGGTTTTAATAGAAATAATGATACTGGGGCAGGTTTTTCTTAATTTTTCCCAGTCAGCTGTCATTCTTCTGATGCTCAGTAGTAATCAATTATTGTCAATGAGGTGTGTTGACTACTGACCATTTGGCACAATCTCAATGTCAAATGTAAGTTGGGACTTTACCTTGTAACATAGAATTTTGCTGGAATCAGAATGAGGAAATTAATTTTTGCTCACAAATTTCCCAGTCTGTGTAGCTGAGCTGGTCAACTGTACATCTGTCATAGTGTAGTATAGTTCATTTTTCATAACTTTTTAGTATGTAATGGTCTCGTCATTGTATAAGACATAAAACTAAAATGTTTCAAGTATTGTTTTAACTGGAAGATTTTCCAAATTCGGTACTGAGATTTTTGTTATGTAATCATACTTCACATCACATTTTTTCATTATTGAACATTAGTTATTAATTATACATTGATATATTTTTATACAATAGTTGGTTGGACATTTGACAAGAGACTTTACTCGTGAGGGTTGGCTGTATAAGACAGGACCACGTAGTTCAGATGCATACAAAAAAAGATGGTTTACCCTGGACAATCGGAAGCTGATGTACCATGATGACCCTTTGGTGAGAAGCAAACTTATTTTTCTAAAAATAATCTTTTTGCGAAATTAGGACTATGTGGGCACCATGCTGTGTGATTTGAGTTCTCCTAAACTTGTGTTTGAAGTCACTTTGCTTTCTGATTTTTGTGTAACTATAATTGCATTCTTTGAAAAAAGAATGTTCCATCTGTTTATGCTGCTTTGCATCTAACATTTACTAGTATGCTGCATGTGGTAACATATTTTACTTATGTTCCACTTCTACAGGTAAACCTCATACATTTAAAACTCAAGTGACCAAATATATATGTATTCCAGTTTAAGCAAGTTAAAAGTAGTGAAACTAATATATAAATAGAGAGAGAGAAGGAAAAAGAAGAAGAAACAGATTTTTATTAAAGAAAACTACATCAGAACTAATATAGAATACAAATATGTATGCTGTTATGAAACTTGTAGTATTTTTACTTAAAATCACAGTACTTGGAATAATTTGTTTTTTACACATTTTTATAGAACTGTAATATTTTTTGAATTGTTGCAGTTTATGCAAACACATGTGAAGCTCATGGTATGATAGTTATGGTGCAGTATGTTGTACTGAAAAACTCCATCTGGTTACCAGTAAAAGATCCATTGATGTTTTGCTTGAACTGTGTATTCATAATTGCAGTGTTGTGTGTTTGTCTGTCCCTTTGTTACCCTCCCCTCATAGTGTACACTGGTGACATGTGTTAGTGCCAACTATGAATTATCCTTTGTGTTGAATTAATTTGGGTTTTTTAATAATAAAAAGTGCATATATTTATGAGGTTTGTTGTGAATCTTTGTAATTAAAGGTGATATATTACAGGATGCTCATCCAAAGGGAGAGATATTTTTAGGCCATATGTTGGATGGCTACAGTGTTAGAGTAGGTGTTCCACCTGGAACGAGGGATCAAGGTTTTTCTTTTACTCTTCGCACACCTGAGCGCTCATACAATCTTTCTGCTGCTACCGATGATGATCGAGATGATTGGATACAGGCTATAGACAGTGTCTTGGAGCGCCCGCTTACTCCCCAAGATAGCTCCAGTAAGTAAGAAAAGTAGACTAGAAAAGCTGTATGATTTTTTTTCATTTTAATGAGGTTTCAGAAATCACCCATAAAAGGATTGTATGTGGCATAGAGTAAGCATGAAAAATATTAAATATGGTTGAAAAAAGTTGAGCAGATGTGATTTTGCAGTGCAAACAAGTAAGAAAACTTCCTGTAAAATTTATGTATTGGTAGTGATGAAAATTCAAAGCATTAATAATTTTAATTGATGTTTGCTTCCAGTTGCAGCTCGTTTGGTCTGCAAGCGAGCCTCCAGCAGCACATTGAATATCTTCTCAGCCAGGTAGTTCAAGAACAGCATATTGTAATGTAATTATATATTATAATGTATACATGAAGTAACAGTACAATCTCACAAGTTAAGTTACACTCAATAAATTAAAGTAGGTAGATTATTTCCCGTATGTAAGAGATTATTTTTTGAAAGTAAGAAGCGACCTTATGTGGTGATGAAGTTTTAAATTAACAGAAGGTAAGAAGACTTACACATAAAATAAGAGCATCGGGTCCCCCCACCAAGATTGAATTTCACTCAGGGTATGATGTAGCACTTTTTAAATCATCACCACCAACATCTAATAGCCTCTATTTGCCTCAAGCTACTGTAATGAGATGATACTGTAAACTCTGGAGTACTGAATTTCGCTTCACCTGCGACTCAACATGTAGCCTTAGGTGTGCCTTGAAAGAAATTCTATATATGTTAGCAAACAGTTATTTTGGTAACACTATTTTCTTTATAAAGTTTCATGTTTTTAAAATACATTTTCTAGATTCTGAACCTTGTAAAAACAATACTCAAAATCATCTCAAAGTAGATGATTTGAACTAGATACTAATTGCTTTTAGTGAAGAAGCACGATGGAAACACTAGATTTGGCCCTTTGCAAAAAATTCTTGGAAGCATTCTGACCAATTTCAATATTAATACTAGACTGTTGGAGGGTGAAGTTGTGTAGAGAAGTATTTAAAAAGGTTAGATTTATACACATACTGGTGCTTGCTTTACTGTTTGTAACTGTAAAGAAATATCATGTGGACAAATGTCTGATAGTTAACTACAGTTGCCCGAGATTCATCTGTGCAAAATTTCTCACTGCGTTTGAGATACCATAAAAGAAATAAGGTATGGATACCACAGCTTGGGTCAGGCCAGTCGAGACACATTTATACAGTATAAGGACGTTGATTGAAAGATAGTAGTGTCTATGCAACAGACATTAGAAACTTTGAGTGTACAACACTGTTAATACAACTGCCATTGAGATAATATTACTTCTGTTCCCACGGTTGATGTTTGGTACAGCAAGTGATGAGGATGTACTTCTTACCCTGCTGTAAACTTGAGTCATAATGTTGGTTTCTACTATAATTTGTCCAGTCACTCACAGTGAAGATAGTTAACAAGACTGAAGCTCTTGAATGTTAAACATTCATCTGTGTTCCTATCAGTTTTTCATATTCATTTGTAATGTATGAGGTCTGCTACGTGCCAGCTGAAAAAGAAACTAGACTACCTGTACTTAATGTTCTTACTTAACTTAATTAAGTTCCAGTTCCATGCTTATTAAATATTTAGTATAGTGTATGCCAGTCTGTTGTACAAAGCAAGAATTTTATAGTAATTGCATGAACACCAGCGCATTGTGTTTGAGCTGGGAAGGTGTGAAAAATCTTACATAATGGTTGGGTTGTAGCAGATGTTGGTGAGTTTCAGAATAGTCTCTGGTAATGTCACTGTCCTGCATGGACATCCACGTAACTAAAAATGTTGACATTAGATAAGATTTTTAATATATAGGCTAAATTCCTTTGTTTGCCAGGAAAGTAGTTGTAATTTCAGTGTTGATAAGCAAACTAATGT